AGCTAAGGAAAACACACAATGGTCAGAGGTCAGTTCTCTCTGAAAATCTACTGTGCTGGGCAAAGACGTGACTTGCCTGTATTTTCTACAACTCTTATTCTCAATGCCATCTCTTCCAAAGGCTGTTTTATCTAACATCAGTTACAGTTCTTCACATTCCCCAAGTTTTCAAACTACCTCAAATTAATACAGATAGATGTATTAGCTTTATGTAATTATTGGTAGAGTGATTTATTGACCGTCAAGAAGTTTTCCTACTTCTTGAGCCAGGGAATGAATGCTTTACCATCTAGAGATCCCAATCCAAGAATGTACGTGTTGAGCTTGTTCAGAAGCATTCTACCGGCAATGGGAAAGCTCTACACTCAATAAGTAAAAAAAAAAAGAAAAGGAGAGAAAAAAGGGAAGTTGCCAGCAGCATCATTCAATTATGAGTCTGTCTCATTACACAGTCCCTCAAACGGAGGTGGCTTACATTATGAAATACCAACAATTTCAAAAGCTTAGAAATTAAACATATCACCCAGTGACAGACAAAGCAATGTGCGTCTAGGGTTTTGCAGGAGCGGCAAGCCTCAGTGCCGAGTGAGCATTTGAAAGACGGTCAATCCAAAAGAGATGTGCTGCAGGTATAAAATGCACATCCCCAGAGTTACTGATGGGTCTTAGCTCGAGTTCCCTGGTGGAGCAAAATCAGCGATGTATCTGTATATATACAACATGCACACAAAACAAAAGGAAAAAGTAGATATACACATCATGTACATAGAGAGAGAGAGTTCAAGGAACTGGTTCATGGAGCTGTGCACCTGGCTAAGTCCCGAATCTGGACATCAAGCTAGCAGCTTCTTCTAAATCTACATGTCAGACACCAGGTTGCTGGCTCAAGGTCCCTTAACCCCCTTCTCTTCCTTGTGCTGTAAGTGTGAGAAATTAGGAAAAAATCAGATGCAGGATCAAAAGAGGACAAGCTTTGCCAGGCCATCCAAATAGGAGGGAGCGTCAAAAACTTCCATTCTTTTAACCCCGTCTTTCAAGCTTGTTGAAGCACCCTCATCTACTAGATACAACCCCCAGCCCCAGGAAACGCTCTTTACACCATAACACGGAGGATAAGTGCCTGTCACTGAGAATCATGGCCTCATACCGATGAAACAAAAGAAAGTACACAAGGCATTAATAATTTTGTATTGATGACATGCTGAAATGACCATCCTTTTCACACTGTGGGTTATATTTACTCAAAGTAATGTCATCGGTTGTATTTTAACAATTTTTCATGTGGCTACTAGTAGAAAGATTCCGCTTCCATCATCATTCTATGGACCAGGCTTGGCCTAAAGATAACGGACACCAGGGAGAGAGAGAGAGTCAATGCTACTTGGTGACGAGGACCAGACTGCCTACAGAGAGACAGACACTGCTGGTGCTTTATTTTACAGAGTGCGTGCGTGCGTGCATGGGAGCACCTCATATGCTTAGTCCAAACATCAACACAAACTGACATCAACAAAGCATCAAAACGGACTTGACATCAACACTCCGACAATCAGCTGTGCCGCTTGGCACCGTGATAGAGGGGAGCGGGTTCCACTCCCCGATTTCTCACATGCACAGCACAGCACAAGGGGTGAGTCGGAGCTCAGAAAAGCCAGAGCAGAAATCCAGGTGCTGACACCAAGCATAAGCTGGAAGTTCAAAAGGGGCGTCCGGGGCCCTGGAAGCTCAGAACTGGGATGAGAAGTCTAAGTAAAACACGACGACGCTCATCAAAGAGTAAACAGGACTCAAACCCAGAAGGGCTTTACAAACTGCCACGCCGAATGTTCTGGTTTCAGATGTCAAACCTAAATGTAAACATCATCTGTCTTTCGAAAGAATGATCATAGATGAGCTGGAGCATGCAATTATTAACTTTATTTTCCTCCCAGGCCAACAGGAAAGTTGAAAACTTGGGCGATTGATAAACAGCTGGTCTCCATCCAACACTAACATGTTGATTGTTTGAAATGTCCCCCGTGAAAGGGTTAGGTTTTGCTAATCTGCTTGGGAGCGCTTTCATAGTTACCAGCACAGACCGATCCCATCTCCCTCCCTTGCCTTCTTATGTAAGCTCGGTATTCACCGTTAAGTGTTGATGGAAGTTTTTGAAACTATCCAATTTCTCCAGTAAATATTTAATTCTCTTGTTTCTACTGACCAAACTGTAAACAACCCACACTTTTACATAACGTGTTTGGTAATGAGAAAGAGCGATGTTGGCGTCAATAGCACACAGAGTCCACAAACCAAAAAACATCACAACTGCCAGGCACAAGGAGGCCTGGCAAAGCAGCTGCCAATTAAACAGAACGTTTCCTCTCTGCTCAAAGTTTTGGACCCAGTTGTAGCCAGCATGCCGCCTGCACAGGCTCGCAAGGAGCCGGGGGTGCCCTTAGCTATGGTGGCCCAGGCTGGGCTTCGCCACCCGTGTGTTCTGAATGAGAAACAGCCACTCGAACCCAACTCCACTGCCACTCTGTCCATTTCAACTCCCAGCAGCCCTGCAGGGCAGGGCAGAACTGCTCCCAAGGGTTTCCCCAAACCGTAAATCTTTACAGGAGCAGAGCCACCCCCCCCCCAACCTTTCTCCTAGGGAGTGGTGGGTTTGAACCACCGACCTTGAGGTCTGCAGCTCAACTGGTCACCCACAGGGGAACTTAGTGACAAACATAAAGGGTGCTAAAAACTCCTCTATTTTCTCTGTTTCATAAGGTAATACTACTTAAGGTCTTCATTGATACACTCGAAGAAAAGACAATGGGCCCACCCTTCGACTAATCTGAGTGGCTTCAATGAACGAAGTCAACCGCCTGAAAAAACAAAACAAAGCAAAAAGCAGCTGCCATCATGTAGACGCTTGACTCACGGTGCCGTCATGTGTGTCAGAGGCTGGAACTAGTGACTAAAAGGAGAAATACACACATAGCAACGTGCCCGATCGGTCATGAAGACCGTGAGCGTTCATAGGCGCAGGAACTCAACAAGGCTTGGGATGGTCAGAAACGGCTTTTGGGAAGTGGAGCCCGGGCTGGGCCTTGAACGATGGAGAGGGTCCGCAGATGTCAGCGGGGTGCTGAGGCAAGCATGTGTGTGCTGAGCTGCTAGCGCCCTGGAGACACCGGAAGGTGAGCAGAGCCTCAAACGTCAGAAGCACACACTTCATGAAGCGTGAGTTCCTGAGCACGTAGTGAACGTAGACACTGTCTACGCTGGAAGGACTCTCAAGATGAAGGCTAGACATTGCCGTGTTCATGATCCAGTGATAAAGGTCCGGCAGGTAGGCCCAGGGCGTGACAGTGGGAGAAAGGTGCAGGAAGGGAACAGCCTCCAAGGGGAGAAGAAAGAAAAACAAAAATCAAAGACTTGGTATCAAAAATGACCTTCAACAGGAGAAAAGAGCATCCCTTTTGGAAAGAGTTTAGAAAATGGCCTTGCGGATGCAGATCATGAGATGGGTTTAGGCATGCTTCATTTGAATTCATGGGGGCGTGGACATTTGTAAAATGTAAAAGGCCACTCGAGATTCGAGAAACACTCTGTGAGAGAACAGAATAGAGGGACATATTTGTGCACTGACTTACCAACGTGGTACCTGAAACCTAGAGTCCTGGGAGTCAGAACTGCCTTCCCCTCAACCCCAGTTCCCAACAAAACAGTTCCTGGCAAGAGCTAACACATGCAATTGGTTGGTTGGGAGTGGCTTACACACACGCCACACAGGAAACCAGGAATGGAAAGGAACATGCAGGAATGCTCATCGTGGTACCAGGGGGGCAGAGGGCCAAGAAGAATGTGTTCTTCCTCATGCTTATGAATTTCCCAAGCTGTTTGGTTGGTTTGCTTTTCGTAACTATAGTGAGACTAGAGTGCTTGTTATTAAAGAATGAATATGTTCTTCAGAAAGGAATGGTCCCATGTGTGCATCTGTGAAAACTCTTAAGATAGTATACCTAAAGAGCACCTCTTACTGTATGGAAATTAAAAAAAAAAAAACAAAGACAATGACACAGCATTTAACGCCCACGGTAGTGGGTAAATTTAGTTTCAACAAAACAACATGTTGGAGTAGAGTGTGTTAACAGGAGAATTGATTATTGCATCCTGTGAAGGATAATATGCAGGGTTCAGTTAAAACCAAAAAACTTTTCCCAACAATGTACCCATGGCTGGTACATTATGTGCACAAAGTTTCACTGCATGTTTGTTTTTTTAATGTTTATGAAATCCAGGGTGGGTAAATCTATGGAGACAGTAACTGGATTAATAGTTCCTTCCTTGGGGGTATGCAGGGGATGTAGGGGGGAAATGGGGAGCTAATAATGAGTACAAGATTGAAGAAAATGTTCTAAAAGGGATTGTGGGGATGATTGTGGGGATTGTGACTGAATTGTTAAATTGCATATGCAAATTATATGCTGACAAAACTGTTGGGGGGGGGGTTCACTGCAGCATTGTTTATATAGCACAAAAAAAGAAGTAGAAGTGACCAAAATGTCTATCAAGAGGACACTAGCTTTGAAATGAAAGTGGGGGTAGGAGGGAATAAGGAGGTAAAAAAAGAGATGTTTCTTAATAGCGCATATATGTTTCACCTCACTGATTGAATTATAGGATATCTGAAAAGGGCAAAGGAGGTGTGAATCTCTTTATCTCCAAAGGTCCCCCCAGCAATGGATACCCATATGCTTACTGACCTGTAGGAAAATTACAAATATGTGACAAGAAAACTGAAAATATTGACCTCCTGCCTTGTCATTATTAATGGCAAGACTGTGCCTGCTTAATCTACTTACAAAGATCTGGCCTGCACACAAGTCCCTTACCTTACTGTTCGCATTAACCAAAGAGTTCATTGTGCCCGGGAAGGAGCGCTGAGACTGTTCCTGACATGCGCACAGGGTGAGGTCAGGCACAACTCTATCAGGGGTGCAAGGCGCGCGCAAGCGTGTTGGACGCACCTAAATGATGTGGCGGAGGCCTGTCCATGTGCTTCTGGTGACAAGTCGCTGAGCTACATGTCCTTGGGTTGCACGAGGTCCCAGCTCAAGGCCACGAGGGGGAGTCCCGGTTAGTAGAGTCAAGACCTAGCTAGAGAAAAACAAATGGTACATTAAAATAAAACATAAAATGAAATCTAGCAGGCGGTGGCCCACACGAATGGCACCCATGATTCCCTGGGCCAACCTCCATTGGAGAACGCGCTCTATTACTACTTCGCTCTTAAAGACCCCCTCGGAGGCCCCAGCCATCCCTGAAGGAGATCTCTTCAGAAATCAACTGGAGACTTGCACAAAATACTTAGGAAGAAAGCCCTTTGGAGCACCTCTGAAATGCAATTTTGCCCTCTGCTGGGCTTTCTTTACTGACAAATTTTCCACTCCATATTCCCTAGCACCGACTGGACTTCAACAGGCCCATCCCAGAAATCCCCACCACCACCACCACCAAATTATGTGCCAAAAAGAAAAGTTCTCACTTAGGGGCTAGGCTTTGTGCTAAGCAACAAATGCATGTAACATGAAATTCACATCAGTCCTTGGGTCCAGGAACCACTTGACCCGCACTTGCAGACAAGAGGACTGAAAGGGGTGAGGCCTTTGGGTCAAGGTTACAGAGCTTAGGAGAGACACCAACGGGCAGGTGCCCCGGGGATTAGAACCCAGGACGTGAGAGCAACGTTCTCCTGCAGTACCTACTTCGATGCTGTTAGCTGCCCGTGAGTGGGCCCTGGCTTATGGTGGCCCCAAGAAAAACAGAATACGATGTCGGCCAGCCCTCTGCCATCCTCGTGATCAGCTGGAGGCTAGGGCCACCGTGATCCACACGGTTTCCATTGGCTGATTCTTGAAAGGTGACCACCCACCCACCCACCACCCACCCCCCCGCCAAGCCTTTCTTCAGTCTGTCTTAACCCGGAATGCCACGGAAACCTGTTCAGCCCTGCAGAGCAACGGATCGCGTCTCTTATGCCACCCACTAAGGTGACCGAGTGGGACTGTGCAAATAGGTACTAGTGTGGGCCACCCAGGGGGTTGGACAGCTTGCTGATGGTGCGAATTAGGTGCATGGAACGCTGCACGGTTCAAAAACTCCTAACTCACTGCCATCCACTTGATTCCAACTCATCGTGACCCTACAGGACAGAACTGCCCTGTGAGTTTCGGAGATTTTAAAGCTTCACAGGGCTCTATCTTTAGAGGACTAGAAAGCCTCATCTTTCTCCCATAGAGTGCCTGGTGGTTTTGAACTGTTGACCTTGCAGATAGCAGCACAGCACAAAACCAACTATGCCACCAAGGCTCCCCTGCTGAGTTGGGACAATGAAAAAAAATACGGGTGTATGGAAATTGAATGAAGAGATAAGTCCATTCTGTCATCCCGGTAGCCTTAAAACAAGCCATCTCAGAGATGAAAAGGAGATTTATCACCAAAACCAAGAGAAGCAAATGTTCCTTGGAGTCAGGGTCACTGTGCTGGGAACCTCCTAGACCCGAGAGAGAGCTGTCACACCAGCAAGGGTGAGATGGCGAACAGCAGCGGCAGGCAAATAGCAACAGAGCAAGAAAGCTGAGCGCCTTCAGGCATGAGGCTTGCTGGCAGAGTGAGGCACCTCTCATCAACCTATGGCGCTAAAGGGCTGAGTGCCTTGGGTCCAAGGCTGATCAGTGGATTGAGGTGCCTCTGGGCACTTATCAGTGGCGCTAAAGAGTTCTGTACCACTTATTCAAGCTAAGCAGAGATTGGGTGGTCTCAAAGGGCCAGAGAGAAGCCCACCTGCAGGCCCAGCTGAGAGGAGGCTGCCCTGATCCTGATCCTGAATTATAACCTGTTGCACTTCCCTAATAAATGCCCTAACCATGAGGATTTGTCTGTGAGTTCTGAGTGGCCACTGCAAGGAATGACTGAACCCAGGAGTGAAACAGAGCGCCATGGAAGGGGTGTTTGATGTCAGAATTGGTGAAAAGGTTAGAAGAGGCAAGTCTGACCCCCGCCCTCCGAGGAATCAGCCTTGGTCTGGTTATGCTGACCAGGGCTCTCCTCTCCTTGTAAAGTTAGACCCGGAGGTCTGACTCCTCCGCCCAGCCATCTTTCCAAATACCATAGAGACATACTAGGATAGACGGGGTGGTTATGCATGAGGTGCACGGGCCAGGGACTGGACCCAGGTCCCACATGGAAGGCAAAAATCCTACCACGGAACCAGCGGCAACCTGGACTGCTCCACTCTACCTACTGGACTTCACACAGCCACACACATATCTTCCATACGAAGGGGCCTTAAAAACGTTTGTGGAAAATGGAATGAAAGGATAATAGGATTTTTCCACAAACGTTTTTAAGCCCCCCCCCCAGTAAATTCTTTTTAAGCAGGATCATACTATACATATTGTATAATCTGCATTTTTCAAACATCAGTATACATGATTATCGTATACATGATTAAGTTTATTGAACTTATTCTAAGCAATTCTTTTCAAGATTCTTTTTTCTCCATATTTGTTCCATAATGCACCTTCCCACCCACTCTTGATTGATGGATGTTGCCTCTGTGACTACCTCTTGACTTTGCTCAGATTTAATAAACAGCTTAAATTAGACTCATGGTCCTGGAAGCTTTTAATGCTAGAACTATGTAATTTGCTTCTTTGGGGGGAGTGGTGGATTTATACGTAAAGCAGAGGAGTCTATGTGCTGCAGTGGGTTACACATCGGACTGTTCACTCCAAGGTCAGCAGTTTGAACCCACCAACTGCTCCTGTAGAGAAGGATGAGGCTTTCCATTCCTGGAAAGGTATACAGCCTCGGAAACCCACAAAAACAGGTCAGCTCTGCCCTATGGGGTCGCTGTGAGTCGGAACCGATCGGTGGGTTAAGAATTATGTAAAGTACGTTTTCCTTTTTTTAAGTATATTTGAGAAAAAGAAAAACATCAATTTCTCTATTCAGCTCCTTATCAGTTCAAATAAGCAATGCCCCCCCCCAAAATAACAAAGAGCAATGTTTAGTTTCTGAAACTTTGCATAAAAAATACAAGGTAGTAGAAAGAATATCACCTGTGGTCTAATTTACCTTGGGGCATGGACAAATGCTGCTGCTGACTCACCCCAGAACACAGAGTAGAGCCAAAGATTCTCAGAACAAGTACCTTCCGACGAGAGACACGCCGGTGTGTCTGATTAAACATGTGTCGGTGTGTCTGATTAAACATGTGTCGGTGTGTCTAATTAAACTCTGGCTGTGCCTTTGGTTGCAGGGAGGCGGGCTCAGGGCGAGGCCACACCAGCCAATTCTGGGGCAGCTACCAAGTCATCTCTGTGGGTTTCTTTATTGCAAAACTGTCAGCGATACAAGTGTGGGGCACGCGCTTCATTCAATAACTAATGAACTGGGCATCCGTGCACCTTACAGTAACCTAACTTACAGCACAGAATTCGACTCAGTCTTTGAGAAACATTCTCCCGACTCATGAACACAGTTGTAAGAAGCTTTAACATAGTCTTAAGAAGCTTTACAAGAAGGTGAGTAAAACACAATAATTTTAATCATCTTTTTGCTCACACATACCCAGCACAGCCTGCGACCGCTCACACGGGGCGGGACTGCCTTGTTTGCCCGGTGTTGAATTTTCCACCGTGGACAGGGCTGGTCCTGCTACTTTTCTGTCTCACTCGCTCGACGTGTAAGAAGGAACTTCAAGACGTCTATGGAAAATCTCCCTTGTCTTTTCATTCCTTCTCCACAAACTTTTTTGAAGTCCCTCATATATTCCTATCATAAAATTTATTGGCATTACGACTGACAGGATAAACACCAGGTGGTTTTAGGTGTGGGAGGTATAAGAGATTGTGTAACTTTTACAATTTGCTTTATATCGTTTTTAACATGTTAAGAAGGAACTTCAAAACGTCTATGGAAAATCTCCCTTGTCTCTTCATTCTATTTCTCCACAGACATTTTGAAGCCCCTCCTATACTCTTTTCATAAAACTCACTGGCATTACGACTAAGGTGCTGGCAAAGCCTCACGGCGGCTAAGAGGCCAAACAGGTCTGTCCTGGAAGAAGTGCAGCCAGCAAGCCCCTGAGAGGGAAGGATGGGCAGACCAGCCCCTGGAAAAGGACATCATGCTCGGTCAAGGGGAGGGGCGGGAAGACCCTGGACGAGGTGGGGATGGTGCAGGCCTGAGCGGGGTCTGTGTGCACAGGGTCACTATGAATCGGAACCGGCTGGCCAGCACCTAACAAAGACAAGAGGTAAGAAAAGGTTCCATGGGGGAAATGAAATTAACACAGTGTTATTTTAACGACAAATCACAAAAAACGCTGAAAGAGCAAGTGAAAGGACTATGCCCCCAAGAAGATTTGTTTGGGGAAAGTGTTTTTGGTTTTGGAAGCTGACTGGTGAAATGAGGAGGGTCTGGCTTTCTGCTTCACTGGACAAGCAGCTGCTATGAGCACACAGGCTGGGTTAGCGTCTGACACTGGGGAAAAGGAAGTCAAGGAGGAGGAACTCCGCGGCGGGCAGAACCACTGCCGAGTTATCAGGACACCGCCTTGAACTTCTGCCACCACCAGCCAAAGCCCTCTGATTGGCAGGTTCCACCTCCCTCAGGAAAGAGGAAACGTCGCCCTGCAGACAGGCTACAAGGCGGAAATCATAGATACAGCGTGCGTGCAGCAAGTGACAGGAAGTGTCCCCTCGGAGCAGTTAGAGGAAGCAGACGCTCCCCAACCAAGGCTCTCTCACTGCCATCAAATTGACGCACGGCGATGCCCAGTGGGTTTCCGAGACTGTTCATTGTTTAAGGCGGTAAAGAGTCCAGTCTGCTGGTGGTTTCAAACTGCCCACCACGCGGATCGCAGCCCGATGCATAACCACTACACCACCAGGGCCCCAGCACAAAACAACTATTCACAGACTTCTGTTGCTTCTCGATCGGGGTTTACAGACATAATGCATGGAGTGGTGCTACATCAGCGGTTCTCAACCTGTGGGTCTCGACCCCTCTGGGGGTCAAATGACCCTTTCACAAGGGTCGCCCAATTCATAACAGTAGCAAAATTAGAGTTATGGTGTAGCAAC